GCTGGCGCCGGCTCCTAGGTACTCCGCAGAGGACCTGGAGGCGTGGGCGGAGGGCGGCAGCATGGACCCCGCCTATTGGGAGCCCATCCACGTGCCGGGAGCGGCGCAGGTGTTCTCGATTCGGGGGCCAAACTACCTGAAGGACCGGAAAAAGATACCCGCGGGTGGGGGGAGGGGGATATTTGTCACTGTTTTTGAGGGCCTTTTGGGGGGGGCGTGTTGGTGTAGGAGGGTGCTTTTGCTTTGCGGCGGCTGGCCGGGTTTTAGGCCCGACTTGGAACCGCCCGCCTTCTTGCAAAAACGCCCAAACTGCAGCCCAGTGTCGGCGCCCCTCCCTTGCACAGACCCTTGCGGTTGGTGCCGGCAGCCCGTCCAAACCTGCGACCCGCTGCGCAAACCCTCCATCCCCTCCCTACCACACTCCCCAACTCTAACCCCAACCCCCCTCCAACCCCCCCAAACCCCCAAACACAAACAAAAGGCACCCCGCGCTTCCGCCTGCTCGCCTGCGACCTGGTGTCCACCCCACCCCTTGCAACACCCCCCCAACCACCCCCCAAACCCAAAAGGCACCCCGCGCTTCCGCCTGCTCGCCTGCGACCTGGTGTCCACCCCCACCGTCATCGGCCACGTGGCGCGCTTCCTGCCCAGCATACGGCTGTCGGGCTGCCCCTTCATGTTTGCGGTCAACCTGCTCATTCCTGGTGGGTCTGGGGGGCCCTGGATTTGGGGGTTTGATGGGTTTGGGGCTCGGGGGTCTCCCAGCGCACGCCAAATGTGAGCGCCGAACGCACACGCACGCACATAACTACCCCCCATTTCAAAACAACCCCCCCCCCAAAAGGCACCGGCTCCAACCCCTGCCTCCACCTGGTCATGACCTTCGGCGCGCCCTCCCACCCCTCGGCCCTGGGCGCCTGCCCCGACGACCCTTTGGACGCGGGGCCCGAGTGGACGCCGTTTGACTTTGCGCTTTCGCGCTTCCTGCACGCGGGAGGTGGGTTTGGGGGGTTGGGGGTTGGTGTTGGGGGTTTGGGGGGTTGGGGGTTTTGAGTGGGGGGCGGGTGGACGAGGTGCACTGAGGTGGATCGGGCGCCGCGCTGTGCTCGGCGCTGCTCTTGCCCCGCACCCAACACCAGCCAACCCCCAAACAAACCCCGAACAAACCCCCCAAACAAGCTCCCCAAAACAGCCACCCCCTAAATCCATTCTCCCCCCACCCCCAAAATTTCCCACCCCCCCAAAAGACTACGAGCGCAACGGCACCTTCAAGCTCATCCCCCACTGCGCCAAGGGCTCCTGGATCCTCTGCCAGACGGTGCGTGCGCGTTGCTTTGGGGGTGGGGTGGGGGGGGGGCGTTGAATGGAGGGGGTTGCTTGAAGGGGCCGCAGAGAAGGGGAGGGGGCACTTAAGAAGGTTGAAGGGCGGCGCAAGCCCCATAAAACGCGGCCCGAGCCCAGCAACCCCACCTCTCCCCTCCTGAACATTAGCCCCCCCCAGGTGGGCACCACCCCCGTCATCCTGGGCCGGAAGCTGCCCACCACCAGCTACGTGCTGACCGACAGGTGGGGGTTGTGTGGGTTTGCTTTGGGTCGTTCGCTGTTTGGGGACCCTTAAGCCCAAACAAAACAGCCTCCACAGCCCGGCCCACCCGAACGCCCCCAAACGCCGAAATGAAGCATCACAGCCAAATGAAACCCCCCGAACTAAACACCCCCCCCCCAAACAAAACCCCCCCCAAAGGTATGTGGAGGTGGACGTCAACGTGGCCACCAACCCCGCAGTCAGCTACGTAGTCAGCATGGTGCAGGTGGGCGCACGGCACGGCGCGAGTCACGGCGCATGAGTCACGAGTCATGGCCCCGCGTGGCGGCCTCCTGCCCACCTCCCCCCCGGGCTGCGCTTTGCCGGCGCTGCGCCGTTGCCTCTGCGGTTGACAACAGATAGCGACGCCCTTGGCACGCAACCGCGGGGGCCCCTTTCCCAACCCACTCACAAAACACACACACACACACACCACCTCCCCCCCGCTTGACTAATAAAAGGGTGCCACCAAGTCGATGGTGATAGACCACGCCTACCTGCTGGAGGGCCACTTTGCGCACGAGCTGCCAGAGGCGCTCATGTGGGTGGACGCGCTGCGCTTGGGGGCCGTGTTTGGGGGCTTTGGGGGGTGGGTGGGAGGTGGGGTGGTGCGCGAGCTGCCAGAGGCGCTTATGTGGGTGGACGCGCTGCGCTTGGGGGGCGCGCTTTGACGAGCCCGCGCGGCGTTTTTGGGACGGCGCGCGGCGTTTGGGGCGCGTGCGTTCGTGCGCGATTGTTAGGAGTGTGGTTTGGCTAGGGGGGGACTGCGCGTTCAGTCGGGCGGTTTGTGAGGGCCGCGCGCCGCCCGACAACCCGAGCGCCCTCAACCCACTGAACCCAAAACCCGCCGCCCATCCGCACGGAATCCCTCCCCCCCCAGCGGCGCGGTACGGTTCAAGCACCTGGACATGGGGCAGTACGTGGCGGTGGACACGGCCCACGAGATACGCATGGCGCCGGTGGACCCGGACTGGCAGTGAGGGCGGTCGCATGGACTGCCCGTCAGAGGGCCTGGACTGCGCATGGCGCGGGCCTGGACTGCCCGAGGCGCCGATGGACCCGGACTGCCCGTCAGAGGGCCTGGACTGCGCATGGCGCGGGCCTGGACTGCCCGTGACGCGCGCCCGGACTGGCAATGAGGAGGGCCGGACTGACAGTGAGCAGGGGAGGGCCGGGGCCGCCCGTGGCGCAGGCCTGGACTGCGCACGGCGCGGGCCCCGCATTGACCGACCAGCGGGCCCAGACTGAGACAGGCAGGCAGCTTCCGGCGGCGAGGCGGCCCGGGCCGCGGGCCCCTGCGCCGCGCCGGCCGGCGGCACGCGGCGCGGCGGGCCGGCAGGGGGCCTCTGGCCGCCCGCCCCCGAAGAACCAAACGCAGAAACGTCCCTTGGCGCGCGCGCGTGCGTGCGGCGCGCCCGGATCCCCTATCCCCGAATCCCACTTTTCGATCGCCCCGCACGCCGCCCCGCATTTCTTAGATTCGGCGCACGCCCCGCGGGCACCCGCGGGCGCCTCCCCCTGCATAAGCCACGCGCCCCCCACCACGGCGCGGCGCGGCGCGGCGCGGCCCAGCGCGGGCCGGCCGGACGCTTTGTGGCGGCCCCTCCCTCCCCGCCCCAGGCCCCGCCCTCGCCGCGCGGCCCCGCGCATCCCTTTGCGCGGCCCCCCCCCTCGGGCGCCGCCGCTCACCCCACCCCCACCCCGCGCGGGCCCCACCGCCGCCGCGTTTTTGGGGCCCCTGCCATCACCGAGGGGCCCCGCCCCCCTTCTATCGCATTTGGACCCCCCCCTTTCGCGCCGCCGGCGCCCGCGCGGCGCCGCACCGCAGGAAACACAGGCAGGCGCAGCCACATCAGTATCCCCCCCTTTGCCCGCGCCCGCGCGCCGCCCCGCCGCGCCCTCGATAAACCGGCGGGTGCGGCCGCCGGGCGGCGCGGCAGGAATCAGATCGGCCCCCGCCCCCGCCCCCACCGCCCGCACGGCCCCTCCCACCCGGCGCACGCGGGCCGCGGCGCGCCGCTCCCCCATTGCCGCGCGGGCCGCCGCCGCGCCGCGCGCCCCTCGGTAAAACCGGAACCCCTCCCTGGCGGCGCCTCTGCTGTCGCCCGCGCGCGAGGGCGCGCCGCGCGGCGCGCGGCGGTCGCCTCGCTGCCGCAGCCGCCGCGCCCGCTTGTGGTCGGCTCAGCTGGCGCGGCAACTCGGTTCTAACACGGGGGCGTGGGGGAGGGGGCCGTGCAGCATGGGGGGGGGTGCACCGTGCAGCATGTTCCAGCTGCCACCACGGGGCTCGATGGGGCGCTCAAAACCGGGTGCGGGGCCGTGAAGCCGAACAGCAAAGCAGGGGGGGAGGGGGATGGGGGGGGAATCGACGTGTCGCGGCCGGGGCCGCGGCCGGGGCCGGGGCGGCGGGCGAGGCCGGCAGCCGCGCCGCCTTGTGCGCCTTCCAGTGGGCACGCTGGCAGTCCGCGCCGCAGTACCAAACCAACCCCTCCTCGACGGGCGGCGCGCTGCAGCCAGCGCGCCTTAGCGCCGGCGCCGCCGCGCTCGGCGCGGGCGCCTGCGCGCCGGCGACGCCCGGCGGGCTCCTCGGCGCCGGGCCCGCGCCCTAGGGTTTAGGGTTTAGGGTTTAGGGTTGGCGGCCCAGCTGCAGCGCAGCGGCGGCGGCGGCGGCCAGCGCGGCGAGCAGTCCGGGCTGCCGTGGGAAGCGCGCCACCACGTCATCTGCAGCGCACGCGAGCCCCGCGAGCGCCCCGGCTGCGGCCCAGCGCTCCCGCGCGCCGCCGCCGCCGCCGCCGCCGCCGCCGCCGCTGCCGCCGCCGCCGCCGCCGCCGCCGCCGCCGCCGCCGCGCCGCAGCTGGGCCGCCAGCACACACGGGCAGCGCCGAGCGCCGCGGAGGCGCTCGCACCCGCGGCGAGCCGCTGCTGTTGGGCATCGCCGTCCTCCCCGCCCGCCGCCCCCCTTGCGGCCGCCCCACTTGACGCCACGGCCGCCGCCAGCGCCTCGAGCGCCCGCCGCGCCGGCAACGCTGCAGTATCTGTCTTTTTCGATTGGTTTTGCCGGGGCCGGGGTGTGGGCGGATTGGGAGCAATGCTAGAATTGGGTAGGACTGGGGGCGGGGTCTGAAGCCTGCCGCTGCTGCAATTTTTAGTGTGAGCATCGCAGCGCGCTGATGTGCAAGGGTTTAGGGTTTGCGGTTTGAACTGTGTGCCCGCGTGCCCCCGAGCAATCAACTGGCTGTGCCGTCACAATCCCAAACCCCCAAACCGCAGGCCCCTTTTCAGAACCACAGTGCCCAGGCTGCAGGAGTTGTGCATGTTGTGTATGTTTCAAACATATGCTGTGCATTTACCAGTATGACTTGCCTGGTCGTTGTAAAACACAATGTTCCGGCGAACAAAGACCGGCAAAAGAACGTACCCGCGATGGGGCTCGAACCCACAACCTTCTGCTTAGGAGGCAGACGCAATTCCAATTTTGCTACGCGGGCACAAATTCCCAAATTTATACAGCTGACAGTATATAATACCCGAACAGTCATCGTCGATTGGAAACGTATATTTACGTTTAAGTAGGCTCCGCGCCACGCTCGTCATAGCAGCCCGCCCCCGCGACCTGAATGCGCCGCGGGAGCAGGCCCGCGACGCCCTCTCCTGCCCGCGCGGGCCCCCCGTTGGAGGGTCCGCGCCCGCGGGGCTGTGGCCCACGGGCTGCGGTGCAGGGCGCCGCAGCGCCGGGAACGGGACGCTTCGACCTGCAGGCCCCGTCGCGACGGGGCGGAGCCGCTGCCAGCGGCTGCGCTGCCGCCGGCGGCCTGGGTGACCCGCGGGGCGCTGCCGCGCGCGCGGCGCCCCGCGGCAGGCTGGTCAACGGCGGCTCGGCTGGAGGACGGCTGGAGGCGGGGAGTGGAGCTGCGGCGTGCGGCGGCGAGGCGGCGGCGTGGCGTGGCATCATGGCGGCGGGCGGCGCGGCGGCGGCGCATGCGGAGAGCGCGGCTGCAGTCTGCGGACGGCCGCGGTTGGCTTCCCGGTGGCGTTGATTGCCCCGGCTTGCTTGCTTGCATGCGCGTGTTTTGATTGTCTGCCTGTGTCTGCGTGTGGGGCGCGCCTGGTTTCCGGGCTGGGCCCCGCGGGCGCACGCAGTTT